TTTAGTTGGAATATTTAAATTCAAAAGGAAGGAAGTGGTGCAATATTAGGGGATGCCATGAACGGATAGGATTTTGTGAGATACGGTATCTTTTTTGATTAACGGCAAAAGAGATTGGTGTGAAGCCAGCTGTATGAAAGGCTGAAATTATTTTGAAGATCAAGTAGGCCATGATGGCAAGGGTTCAATCCCATGCCTTGTCATCAAGTTCTTCCACAAGGCATGGAATTTGAGGGGCATATGTTTGCTCCATTATTTTTGTCCAATGGAAAGATGACAAATGGCGAGTTTTAGCGAGCTTTCCATATGGGGTTTATATACTAATTATCCAATAGAGGAAGGCGTGACATGGAATTACTGACATGGATTACCACTAGAAAAGAGAAATATGGCAAGGTCTAATGGAACTCGCCACGTTGGCTTGTAATTCTGGTTAAAATATTCTTTTGGGACATTGAAACTACATAGTTTCATTAGAAGAGTGATTGGTCGAGATAAGTTCCACCACGTGGAATTATTAATTGAAGGAAAGTGGTGAGTCCCATTAGGACTTACCAAGTTTGGGATGTAATGTCCTAAAAAGGTGGCATGGAGTTACTATCATGAGTGCAACCTCATGAGAAGTTTAAAGTCATAGATCAGCAAACTAATGATTTATTAACACGTGGCGAGTCTTATTGAACTTGCCACGGTGGATTAATTCTTTCAAGTTGACCAAGTCAAGAGAGGAGAACGTGGGACTGGAATTTCTCCTTATTTTTAGGAAATCTTAGCGACTTGTTCAGACCTAGTCAGTATTTGGTGCTGTAATTTTGCAAAATCATGGGTTTAATATATTTATATATATATTAAACCCATGATTTAAAAGAATACGCTTATATCCAGAGAGCTTGAGGCTGTTAAAGTAGGAAGGAAGGGTTGTTTAGAGAAAATTACAGGAAGCTAATGGAAACGTGGGATGATACACTTATTATCCAGCCCATGATCAAGGAAACCATGGGAATCCAGGAACCACAACGTCATTGGGTAAGAAAGTCTGGAAAAGGGAAGTTACAAAAGTTGAGGACGCTAACCCACGATGAGAAGAACACTAAAATTTAGGAATTCATGGCATCGTGGACTCTAAACTCGTAAAGGAAGAGTATGAGTGATGATCGTGGTTTCACACGTATGAAAAGTGGTTAATTTTGGATAGAAGGCCATGAGAGGAAAGAAGTCTAGCTAGAAGAGGTTACCTAAAGCTAAGGAAACATAGAGTACATCAGTTGAAAGTGGTGGTCTTGCATGTAACTGCTACCACTAACTGAATTGGTTGTTGGACAATCCGGATAACAGGATTGTTAAGATCGTGGTTGAAGTAGGAAGAACATGGCTGAAGTTTGTAACAGAAGGGAGAAGAAGGACTTTAAATAAGGAAGGGATTACAAGAGATCGTTGAACAAGATCAGTTGAAAGTGGTAGTGTCTCATGTGACTACTACCACTAACTGAAAACGGTTGATGTGGATTTTAGATGATGGGTTTAAGGTGATTAAATCGTGTCTAAATTGGAGAAAGAATTCATGGGAGACGGAAGAAGAACAAGAAGACGTGGAACGCGTGTCAAATTATAAAGAAGACAAGTGAAAATTCATTCCAAAAATCTACCCACGGTGCAAGTTCGTGAAGGACTACTATAAACATGGCTTGAGTTGTGCATCAGAAGAAATAAGGAGCAAGAAGAAGTTTAACTGAAAAGAAATTACAACTGCCAAGAGAACATGGGACACTTGGCAGTCCAGAATCAATCCACGTGGAAGCTGCTAAAGCTGCCACACTAAGCTGCTGCGTGCAAAGAAGTTCTATAAATAGAGTACTCAAGGCTAGTTTGCAAGGTCTGCCTGCCCAGCATACAAACACAGCATATTTGCTATTTCATGTACCTTTCATTCCAGCAATGAATTTACATTATGTCTAAACCTAGCAATTTGCTAGTTCATGTACTTTCCATTCCAGCAATGAATTTATATACTTTTAAGTTGAGTCCAGCACTTTACTATTCTATATAGCTTTCATTCTATGCGATGAATTTCCAGTCCTGTACTCCTTTTGTTACTTTCAGCCAAGCACTGCACTTCAATTCTCTAATTTCCAGTCATGCACTTCAGGTATCTAAATTTCCAGTCATGCATTTTCAATTACTTTAATTCCAGCTTTGCATCTTCAATATCGTCTTTATTTCCATTAGCCATAGAATAGTTTGAAGTCCTTGTTCAAAGGCAAAAAAGACCCTTCGAAGGTGGTCATTCCAGACCTTCGTACAATCTCCTGATCCCTACAACTTTCCAATTGGATAACTGTTCGGATTTTTACTTTGGAACTACTGTAGTTCCTAGCACGCCCACATTCCACACCATTCCATTCCTAGCGATCCGGAAAGCGAAACCAGCACTTTCTCGCGAGTCGAACACTTATAAGATTCAATTGTTTAGATACATCATTGTTACCAGTTACTCTCATGCCAAGAGCAATTACTCCATGCCTTCGGATAAAAAAAAATGGATAGTTAAGCTTTTACTTTAATACTTAAAATACAAATCAGGTTCGGATTTAATTCGAGTTACACATGTTTGAACACAAGTCCAACTCGAAAATGGTATCGGATTGAGAAAATTAAACCCAAGCCCGTTCTGAGCTTGCGTTGGACCCAACTGACTAGCACCCCTAATTTGAGCTCTAACTCGTGGATCCAACATGTAAAACAAGACACGTCTTGATAAACAAGATCAGAGTCAATCCTACTAAAATATGGTGGGAGCGTGCTCATACTCATGAGGTTCAAGCCGTAGACAATATCTTCACAGTGTGAGGTCGACCTAATGCGGTGTTGTATGGATTGATTTAGTATTTGGATGAAGGGGCGAAGTACACAGCTTGCTCCTTTTTATGCATATTCTATTTCGGTAAGTGAGCAGAAAGCCTATCAACTCGGCTTTACTTCTCTCTTTGGAGATTGGAGAATGGAGGCTTCTGATGCTTCACTTATTGCAGAGAGGGAAAATGGGTGAGACTTTCTTGATTTCGTTTTCAACCTTGAGACATGCGCGCCTTAAGAACCGGGTTTTCCCAAACTTTTCAAGGAGATAAAAAAACAAACCAAAGTGGGTAAATATTCCATTACTAAATCAAAGATAGTGATTTGATTACTATCTATAATTTGATAGTTAAAATATGACGTATCCATTTATTATTGGTTCACATCAGCGGTGAGTATGTTGTAAATTCTCCCTAGCGATGATCTAAGTATTATCTTTAAATAAATGTGTCCTTTCTATTACAGTTGAAACCAGGGGCGGAGCCAGTGTATAGGGGGCACATGGCCCATGGCCTGGCCTGCCCTATGTATATATATGACTTTTATTTTATTTTTTACACACACATTGAAATTTGTATATTATGCCCCCAAAAATTTTTAGTTTCTAAATTTTTTTAAAAACTTTTTCTATTTTTTCTCTTTTACTCTTTAAATTTCTTTAATTACATTTTTTTAAAAGTTAAATTTCTCTTATTTAATCATGTTTTAATTTGTTTTCTTCAAAAATTTATTTTTATTTTACATTTTCTTCTTCTTATTCTTATTTAAAAATAAATAAAAAAAACTCTCAGTATGCTTCTGAATCCAAATCCTGGCTCCGCCCTTTGTTGAAACCGAAACCAAATCTATTGAGCCAAACCATTGCAAATATAAATACCCTAATTACTGACCCAGCAACTTTTCTAGAGTGGGGCATCATTTCACGTGAATGTTTAGTGCAGGTGGATAGATATATCATAAGGATAGTTAAAACTTATTCATGAACCAAGACTACTCTTTGAATGGGACTGCACTATCCCACCTATATCTACAGCTAGCCATTAGTGAATACAGACAATCTAGGTTGCTGTTTAAGTTGCGAGGGTGTGACTTTCCAACAGTGTGGATGACCGAATTTGATTCTCGATGATTTTTTTTTTTTTTTCGTGCCAAGACACTCACACGCTCGGGTGTCTTTATGGAACTCGAACCTTAAAGTTGACAAAAGTAATATTGAGATACGAACCCGATAATTCTCAAATTGATTATAGCACTTAAATTTTAAATTTTGATGTGAGTGAATGAAATCAAATAAAGATGAAATGGAATATATTTATTTTCATTCTCTTGTTTAGTGTGTCACATTAAAAGTGAAATGGTCATTCTTAAAGAATGCCCATTCCATAAAAAAGGTGGAATGCCTATTCCAAATCTTAAGAGGTGAAATGACCATTCCATTCCCACTAAGAATTGAAAAAGTAATAAAATAATTTAAAGAGATAATTCACGCATACATACACACTATATATATATATATATATATATATATATATATATCTATATGCTGTTTGTTCCCCCTCTCTCTATTTCATTTATTTTTCTCTCTATTATCTCTTTCCTTTTATTTTTGCAAATTAATTTTTTTAGTTAATTTTTTTTACTAATAATAAAATGTAATTTAAAGAAACAATATAAATTCATTCTATTCTAACTTTCTTACCAAACATAGGAATGAAAATGAGATTCCATTTTTACACATTTCATGTTTACAACCAAACGGTGGAATGAGAATCATCATTCTCATTCCATTCCCACCTCCATTCTCATTTCATACCAATTCATTCTACCACACCAAACATGCCCTTATGGATTTAGAAATTCACGAGGTTATTTTAGAAAGACATCTTAAATGGCAAAATGCAAAAAATTTCCTTCAACTGATAATATTTTGCAAATAGATTCTTGACTTGGCAAATAACCCGTGAACTATAAAAATATTGACAGAATATTTCATGATGAAAAGGGGTATAAATGTGATAAAACTACTAATACATATGTGTTTTACACGCAAAAATGGGGCTAAATGCAGTTTCTTTTAACAGTTCAAGGATTTACTTGTTAAAAAATAGTTTAATCGAGTAATCTGTAAAAAAAATTAGTTCAGGAGGTTTTTCTTTTTTTTTTTTTTTTTTTTTTTTTTTGCAATTTGTCCTAATTGAAACAACTGGTCTTGATTTTATTCTAATCCAATAGACTAATCACTGCTTGGTTGAAGTTAAATATCAAGCCCTTTCTGGAAATTTCCTAATTATTCATTTGGGTTCTACAAATTTATTTTTTATTTTTATTTTTATTTTATTTTCCTGACAAAGACAACCAAAACAGAACTCACAACAATCCTAAAATAAAAAGCACCCAGAATCCGCCTCCGCAAGAGGCACAATAGAAGGAGGAAGAGACGACAACACCTGATCTGTCTGAAGCCCCGGCCGCAAAAGAGAGGCCAAAACATGAGTCACTCTATTACTCTGATGATGCACATGAGTCAACGAGGCAGACGAAAAGCTCCGAAGATCCAAATTAATGTCAAAGCAAATAGGAGCAATTTCAGATGGATAAGTCTCCCCAAGCAACACTCCTTTCACAACAACTTTGACATCTGATTCAAACTATAAGCAAGAAAAACCAAACGCCAAAGCCCAAAGAACAGCACTACAAATGACAGTACTAATTTCATAAGAAGCAACTGCTCTTGGGCCCACAATGGGTTCCATATTGGGCCTAATCTAGCTGCACTTGGGCCCATAATGGGTTCCATATTGGACCTACAGTATCGGCACAAGACATATTTAGAACAATCATCACACTCACCACACAAGTATTCATCTAAAATTTACTTCACACAATTGACCATTCTCTTTTCAGCTCAGACTTCAGCTCCATAATCTGATTATCCGGCATAATCACCGTCACAATTCTTCCACCGCTGCCACCCTTGTCGTTGTCTTTAGGTCCCGGAAGCACCAAAACAACCCCTTCTTCTCCAACGCCGTCAACGGTATAATTCACATGAACCGGCTTTAGTCCCTTAAATTTCAGCCCATAAAAATTGGCCTCCTCCCAATCCACAAAAGTCAAGTTTGCTCCATACAAAATGAAATCAGACAATCCTTGTTCTCCCTCCACGGCTTCTTTAATCTGGCGTCGCTCATCCACAACTTGATTCATTATCAGTGTCGCGAGTTCCTTTGGATCAGCTTCCGCGATGGGACATTTCACGCTAACAACGCCTACAAGTTGATCATTGCTCAAAATCCCATTTTCGCTATTATGTGAATCATTTTTGCAAATTGTCACTCTCTTCGGTTCTGGTCCATTTCTAACCTTGGCGACGCATTTCCAAATGATGGCGCATAAAGTCTCGAATGGTGGAATTTTCTGAGGATCAATTTGGCCACATAGCTTTGCCTGCAAGTGAGCTAACTGTGTTGCATTGATTTGGAGGGAAAATGCCTCCATTTTACAGTTATTGGCAGTTATCCAGGTGTCTCCAACTGGGCCAACCCGTTTCACGGAAAGCGGATCCTTGGAAGGCCTTAATGGGCTTGGAAAAGCCCCATTATTAGCCTTTGATTGGGCCAAATATGTTCGGGGTGATTGTTGACCTGCCATAACTTGGCCCCAGGTGTTGATGTAATCTGCAGCTGAGAATGCATCACCAAGGACATGGGCCCAGCTTAGGCCCACTGACATTCCTCCACATTTGAAACGAGTTACCTGCACACAAGGCCCAAAAAGTATGAATACATTTTAAACCGGACCTACTAAGAGCCTCTCCAACCGATATGTCAAAACCTAACGTCACATTTACAACAGCTATTTTTGACATCAAGAATTCCTCCAATCGATAGCTCAAATGCTTACTTGGCATTTGGCATACCATCAAATGTGTCAAACTTGGCTTGGCATATTAAAGTGTTATGGCAAATAAAATTTTCCCATTATTTTAATCTATGGATTTCACAAACAATTCAAATTTGGCATATTGAGCATGTCCACCCGAAACTTCAAATATTAATAAATTAATGAATTTGACATATCGATTGAAGTATGCCAAAATGTCATATGTCAATTTGCCACATCATACCTAAAATAAATTTGAGGTATGAAATTTGAAGCATCGGTTTGAGATGCTCTAAAGTGACCAGTTTTGTTTACGTAATAAGATATAATTAGTTGATGACACTAATAAAATGATATCTGTGCAGGAAAATAATTTTTGTGTACGGACACATAGATTGACTGTAATATCATGTCTATGAGACTAGACAATCCCAATCTTCCAGACCAAAGTCCATATAATGGGGAGTATTTTGAACAATAATGAAGTATAATACTCTTTCTACCAATATGTTCTGTGATCGACCCAGAAATTTGTTTTAGTGAAGATGATTTTGAACAATAATAAAGTAAAATAATTTCAACCAAAATCATATTTAAGTTGATTGATAATTGTTTCGTTCAAGATATTAATAATTGTTCTCAACTAGTTTTATGTTTAAATGCATTGCAACATGCTAAACCACTAAGAGTTGTAACTTAGTGATATCCTAATTGATAATGAAATTTTATATGAAGACGTGTATAATTACTTAAGAATTTTTAGGTCTAAATAAAATTATCAAAGAAAGGTGAGGACAACTGCCACAACGATCTATTTACTTGGGTATGTCCCGACTATGTTAATAGAACAATTGATTGCAAAATAAAAATTCTTTTTGGTATTTTTTCAACATCAAAATAAATTGAATTATTGTTCCCATCATTATCCCTAACTAAAATTTGTAGAAGTGTCACTTTCAAATGTCCTTGATAAGTGATCAACATTATTGTAAATATAGATGTCACCATCAATACAACTTTAATTGAAGGTTCTTCACTCGAGCCCAAGCAGTATGTATGTAGTATTTTTGAGAAGATTGATCAGTCCAAGTTATTTAGACTCAGTTTAATTGTGGTGAAAATTTAAGATGGACCAATTCAAGTATCATAGATCAGTCAAACCGGGTGAAGAAGGAATTTGTGGGTTAATTTGGCATTTATTTTGAAGTTGTGATTGTTACAGTAACTTCTTGTAATTAAGTTGTGAAAGTCTCGTCCAAGAAGTGATGTTGAAGAGTCTATAAATAAAAATAGATGTGAGAGGTAGAGAGACAAAATATATAAAGGGGTTAAGGATGAGTATTGTAAGAAAGTAGATGATACACGTAATTTTCAATAGTAAAATTGTAGTCTTAAAAGAGATGACGGTGAGTAAGTGGAGTTTTGACATCTATTTGTATATTTTCTTCTTTGATACATGATGTTGAAGTCTCAGACATAACCCTACAATTAGGTGAATCATATATTGATGTATATGATTGTTATATATATATATATATACACTTAGCGAAATAATCAATAAGATTCATATAGTTATTTTACTGCAGTATTTTTATAAAATTACCTTTTAGTTGGACTGACAGCCAACTAATTTTTAACCAAATCTGAAAAGAGATTCGTCATTTTTTTTTTTTTTTCACAACTTTAAACAGAATAAATCTTAATTAAGCAAACCCTTATATATAACTCTTATAGTGTTTTTTCTACTTAAGGGTTCGAATTAAGTTTCATAGTCAGTTAGCAAAGGGAAAAACCTATGTAATCTGCTATTAAAACTCCTAGTTTGACTCCAATGTCATGTCACTGTTATTCAAGATGATATTCTGTCACCTATAATTCATTAGTGATCAGTCGTTATATCAAATTGTTACAGGACAAAATCATTAATTAAATATATACCTAGTCTTGCTTTCTGTTTTGAGCTCCTCATCTTCAGATCACAATAGAGTAATTTTATCCCAACTGCTAATTTGATACAGAATATACATACATCATATATATATATATATATATATAAAGAGAGATATATGATATACCTGTATAAGAACCGTAGGTGAGAAACCCAACTCAGGACCAATGACTTGAGAGGAAACCAAAAGCTTTTTCTGGAAAGAGACATCATCATCCATCTCAAGCCATTCATCAATGGTCTTGACACACTGAGCCTCAACCAACCTCACACCACAGTCATTGCACTTGATGTAGGGCCGACCGGAGTCGTAACGCCTGAGCCGGCCACAGGTGGTGTAGAGATGGTTGAGCCAAGTGAACATGGACTCCTTGATGGCTTTGATGTTCATGCCTTCCGCTGCTTGGCTGCTGAAGTAGTAAACACCTCTCAGATAGTGAAGTTTCATGGCCAAGTCCGTGCTCGACAGTTCGTGAGCCATGTCCTGGCCGCTCACCTTCCCCGGCCCGACCGACGAAATCTTCACGTCGTAGATGAGGCTTTCTTGATCCTTGGGGGACACCATGGTGCAGTGTGTGTTTTGTGTGTGTGAAAGAGAGAGAGTAGTGAGTTTCTGACAGTGGTGTGAGTCGTTGATGGATTTTAAAGACAATCGGGGAGGAAATATAAAAGAAAGGTTTTTATCTATGCAGTAAGCTACTCCTCACTTGAGAAATACCTTTTATGATGGGTCCACATGAGATTTTATTTTAAATTTTAATTATTTTTATAACTTTAAGGCAATGATGGTAAATTAGAATATTAAAAAAAGGTACAATTTTGAATTGGGACAATTATTTTGAGAGGGAGAGAAAAAAAATATGAACACTTTTTGTAACGATTCTCACCCTAGCTAAACACAATATTATTCGTTTTTGGTTCACCCGAGTAATACTCCAGATTAAGTACGCTTAACTCTGGAGTTTTGATAAATTTACGGTCATCACAGTTTTAAAGCGCATTGTGTCATAGAATAGTATTGAATCTACCCATCCACACCCAGGCGATGTGAAATTGTGCACTTATAAGTCGCTCAGTGTGATAATTTGTCAGTGCTTCGCACCTGGTCCACCCACACCAACCCCCATTTGGGTCGCCACATTTTTTGTGAAATGAATGGAGTAGGTGTAAATAATATTAGTGGTATTTTGACATTAACTTTACTTTCCTCTTCACTGGCAAGGAGAAACCTTATCCCTTATCACTACTGTAACATAATATGATTCGACTGTATTAATATGTATAGTATCAGTTTAAGTGTTTAACCCATCTAAAAAAAGTATATTATAATATTATTTTAAAAATTATTTTTTATATTATTTTACAATGACAAAAAACACGCATTCACACGTTTATTTTGTCATTATACATAGAAATTTAAACTCCTCGTCCTGCTTTTGAAAACGAGAAAGTACTAATAAACTATATAGCCCTCGGTGTAACAACACATCAGGTGTGAGCAGGAAATTCAACCTTCTGGGTAAGAAGGAAAGCCTGTTCTTTTAAAACACGCTTATAAATTCTTGTGGACCTGTCAACTCCACCACTAGGTAAACAATTTTGATAAAGGAAAACCACCTAAATGTGCCTTCAGCCTACCAAAATGTGATGCAACAGTTCAGTGGGGACAATTTTGCTCATCATGTGTGGAAGAACATTACTTTTTTCTTAAATATTTTAACTAACTTAACATTTTTTGTCTGTTGAACTTTAATTTTTTACTTAGTAATTTGAGGTTCCTAAATGCACATTTTGATAGTTCTCCTTTTATTTTAAATTTATCCCGACAAAAAGAATAAAATTTAGCATTCCCTATATATTCATTAACTTTACTCATAAAATCAAGAGTACAATAATAATAAATTAATAATACAAATTAACCATTTAATTAAGTAGATCGATACCCTCTATTTACATTTCACTTCTCAGTTCTAACAATATATTTATATATATGTGTGTGTGTGTGAGAGAGAGAGAGAGAGAAAGAGAGGGAGACATGTTAGGGAATATTTACCCTCCAACTTATTTAATGGCCGACTGTTGTTGTTAAGAGTTAAATTCCTTCTTCTTCACACATAGCAACTCTAAAATTACGTCCATGGAACATACAATCAGATGTCAAAACTCACAACACTCACTCACTCATCATCTCTTTTGAGGCTACATCTCTACCCATGACAATTACATATATTCTCTCATCTCCTCAAAACACTCACCCCTTAAACTTTTACATCTTTCTTCGATCTCTCTCCACTCAAACCTATTTTTATTTTAAGAGTCTTCAAACGCAATCTTTGTTGGACAAGAATTCCCCAATTTGCCTACAAAGAGTTACCATATCAATTACAAATTCCTTAACTTCAATTTTTACCCCAATTAGACCGGTCCAAATAAATTGCATTGGTTGTGAAAGATAGTATGGATGAGCAACCTAGAAGGAGTGAATAGTTTCAACTTCTTGTTTTATCTGATTTTTTATAAATTAAATTTATCGAAATAAAAGTGAATTAATCACCCACAAAGCAATAACTTAAAGTGTAAGAAATTTAAAAAGTAGAGTTAGAGAGACACTAGGTTTTTTTTAGCGAGAAAATCTAGTTGAAAAAATCATCCAAACATCGAAAAACCTCGGAGACTATCATGTAGTCCCGAGCGAAAAGATCCTCTATAGACGAAGCAAAGTGCAATGGACTTCGACTCAGGCTCACACCTCTTCACTCTTTCTAAAACCAATCGTTGAACGTCTTCGACTTTGCAACTCTCCTGTTCAACAACACTTGACTTCAGGCTTGCGCTTGATCTTTGTAAAGGATCGTTGATAAATCAACAAACACTCCATGAATGCCTTGATCCCTTCAAAGTGTGATTTTTTCCTCCTTTTCTTCAAAACGTGATTTTTGAAGTAAAATGACAAACTAGTTTAGATGATCGGTAGTAATAAAATCTTCAATCATGTAAACACCGATAAAATGTTAAACAACAACCTAAATCACTAAAGTGTATAGTTGCATTCTCTCAAAAATAGAAAATAAATTTCTCTCACACAAAGGCCTTTTAAGGTTTCGAAATCTTCAATGAAAAAACAGTAAGGTATTATGTGTGAATAAGAGTTTATATGATTTTTTAGATTAGAGAGACCTAAAAAAACATGTATAACTTCATGTTAAAACATCCATCTAATTCAAACTTAAAAAGGTAATAGAAGTTGGCTATACTTGAAAATGCAACTGGATGGATTTTGCTCGGGTAATGCAATCGGTTCCATTGTGAGGTTTAACCGGTTGAACTATTGAAAACCTAAGTGCGTACTCTATTCGACTTCAAACCTACTCTAAATGATCCTCACACACTTACCTTGACCATATGTCGTTCAATATCAAACCGAGATAAGCAAGATTTTCTTCACTGAACTTTTCTTCTTTCGAAACCAAGACTCAAATATAAATAAAAATTTACAACTCGATTTCATCATCAAAATATACCAATTACATTTATACACCATAGAGTACATCTTCAATTTTTTATCCTAATTGGACTAATCCAAATATGTTGGACTGATCTATCTTCTTTAAAATAATATATGCGCACCAAACTCGAGACACAAAATCCAACATGTCATGTTTTTTACTTTAATTTTATTATTATTATTATTATTTTTTAACAAAACAGAAGGAAAAAAGGAATGATCAACTGACCCATTTCTCTGTTGGTCTTAAAAAATAAAAAATAAAAATTATAGTCTTGTGTTTAATGTCTTGTTCTGCCATAATGGTGTTACTTGACATCTATTGCATTTTAATTATCTCCTTATCCTTTCACATGAAAGCTATGGAGTTCAAAAGTGTGAGCACCCGGAAAAAGAAAGCAGCATGTGTGTGAGTAAGTGTGTGTCACACCTTAAAAAGATAAAAGAAAATCAATGACACTCACTGAGGTTTGTTATAATATCAGTCATATACAAGTTAAGCGTTTTTTGAACAATGAGACTCCCTGTCAGAATTTGGATCCAAACAGCCCTTAAAATGTTTAAAAAGATGAAATTGCCTATGAATATTTTATTCATTTTCATTGTGAAAAATCAAAACTCATGAAAAAGTCATTTTTGCCCTTCCGTGAAGCTTACCCTATTGGATATTCATTCTTTCTTTCCCAAACACGGCGTATGCATCCGTTCTTTCTCTCTCTAAGTTCTGCAAAAATGAAACCTGCATCTCTTCACCACCACCATGGTTGATCTGTGCTATGGGTGGTATGAGAAGGAAGTGGATTGCGACGATGGAAGTTGCATTGGACTAGGGTTTGTAGAATTTTGTGAAAGAATTAGATTGATTTGTGGCTTCGTGGACCGCGGCGGAGGGTTGCTTCTGTGTTTGTTCTCTTTGCTCCTCTGTTTCTTGAAACTTGGGTCGACGGTGCTTTCCCGGTGTTTCAAGATTCTTAATTGATTATTATCAGCCCTTCATTGTGTATGTTTATTTGTGTATGGATTCTTTATGCATGTGTGTTAGCAATCGGTGTTGTAGGGAAGGAAAAAAGGAATTTATTTAGGAGAAAAGGAAAGTTAAAAAAGGAATTTATTTAGAAAAAAAGGGAATTTATGTGAGAGATTTTATATTATCTGTATATATAGAAATCATGATTATCTCTCTCTATATATACACACAATACATACATTACACACAAACACACCCAGTTGTTCAATTTTCCTTTTCTAAATCAATCCTTCAACACCCCAATTACAATCACAAACCGATTTTTCAACTTTCCTTGTCTAAATCAATCCTTCAACACCCGAATTGTAATTAGTTCATCTTTACTTTTCTAGACACCCCTGTTAGAATCATAAACAGATACATACTATCAAAATAATATATACATAAACACACGCACCAATTACATGATTTTTATTGTTGTAGTATATATTAATATATATATATATATATATATATATATATACAAATATTTATCCGTGTGTTCATTCTCTCTTAATATGAGCTGTGGAGTGGTGGTGGTGGGTGGTGGTGCCCTGGAATGGTGGGTGTGAAGGTTAAAAATGTAATTATATTATTTAAATAGGGTAACTAATAAGTCAAAGGGTAATAAAGTCATTTCACTATGTGTCAGATCTTGAAGCAGACTATTGGAGTGTTTTTGTTAACTTTATTAAATGTGAGGGGGTATCATTGTTCAAAATAGGCCCAACTTGTACATGACTATCATTATGGTAAACTTCAAGGGGTGTTATTGTAATTAACCTTACTTTTTATGTCTCACAAAAATTTTCATCTTTTCATTTTTTTTCTCTCAAAATAATAGTTTCAATTCAAAATTTAATGTATTATTTTTTAAATATTTTTAACTCAGCCTCTTTAAAGTTATAAAAGCATTTGAACCTACCGTAAAATGATATATTTAAATATTCATTCCATACCACTATATATATATATATATATATATATATATATATATATATATATATATTAAAAATTACACTCTTAAAAATTAAATTCTAAAAAATGAACATTTTTTTGTGATACAAATGGAATTATAATAATGATAAATTTCATAGCTCAAGTGCAGAAAACATCCCTAAAGTATGCTTATAGTGCATATAAGGATGGCAATTTGACC